TTGTACTAAAAATGCCTAATTGAGTATTTTTAACTAGGTCATAGTAATTAAATTTCTTACCCCAAATACGTAGTTTACTTTTGTAAGTAAAATTATTTTAGAAACAAATCCTGCACTAGTGAGCATGATACCACATGCATCTGAAATGTTTGTGCTGCTGGTGTCATGGCTTGAAATCTATAACTTCAGCAGTATACAAAATACTTGCTCTTATTTGTTAGATTTAGGTTGGAACATTCAGAATTGTGTTGATTTGAGCTTAGGAGCTGATGGCACTCTGCATTGCAGAATTGAATGCTGTCTTTTGGATAAGGTGTTTTTTTTGGTTGTGTTTGTGGTTTTTGGTGGGTGTTAGGTGTGGTTTTGTTGTGGTGGGGTTTTTTTACTTTTGTGGGAAACCAGTGTATTACAGATTACCTAATGTGCATACGTTGGAAACAGGGTAGGTCACAACGTTAGGACAGCAGCACAAATTGAGGGAAGAAATAGTTACAGAAGAATCACTGAGGACTCAGTTTGAACACTGAGGATTGTGTAGGTGTGAACGAGGACAGGTAGATGTGTGGAGCTTTTATGGCAGTTGACACCTTTTGTTCTAATGTCTTCACTGGCAAGTTTTCTTAGTATGGTTGGTTGGCAGTTACAAAATAATAAGAAAACCCCAAACCCACAAAATTCCCTTCTTTTGCTAGATGTTCCAGGTACTGGTGCTAGTTTAATGTTACCTCTTACTTAATGCTTTTGCTTGAGAATGTAACTATTAGGTGTAACAGATTGTATTTCAGGGTAGTTTTGGAGTTTTTTTGAAAGCTTAAGAGCAAAAAAGTTTATTCTTTACTAGAATCCAAATTGTACAATTTGAGAATATGTTGGTTTCTTGCTTCTGGCTTCTTTGTGGTCTAGGTTTCTATCCTCTAATATATTTAGCTGTTGAATTTATTTTAACATGAGATAAAACCTGAATAGGAATGTTTGTTTTAATTTCTGACTTTTCACTTAGCTGTTATCCTACAGTGATATTTATTTTAACATCTTTGCTGATGACAGATGTGTTGCAGGAGCCTTTGTAACAATCCTGTTAGGCTGTGCTATTATTGTGGGTGTATACTCGTAATACAATAATTTTATTTTTTACTTAATGCAGGGGTATTAACTACAAAGTTATATTTTATTTTTTTACTTTTTCAAACTTCCTACAACAGATACCAAGTGATGGCATTTGCAACAGATGCTGATGAAAGACAAGAAACGGAACAGCAAAAACTTAGTTCTGGAAAAAAACTTGCGGTAAAACCTGTTTATTTTACATAACCTGTATGGTACATTGCATACATGTTAAATAGACCAGTGCTAAGTAACGAATGGAAACATTGTCTGCTGACAAAGGACCTGATCCAATTGCCATTAAAGGCAATGGAATGACTCCAGTAGATTTCTGTTAAGGTTTCTTTGGGCCTCGGTTGTTTAAGGTTGGGCCTTAAAACTCACTGTTGTTCTAAGAAGAAAAATAAATCCCAAACCTGTGTATTGGAAATAACTATTTCTAAGGCAGTCTTTGTAATACAGAACCTAAATGGTAGTTAAGTAGATAAATAGGTACACCTAAAATGCTGCTGATGTTTTTAATTTAAGTCTACTTGTGACTTTGTATTGGAGTTACCAAATTAACCTCATTCTACTTGAGGAATCCTTTGTACTTACAGAAAACTCAGCAGTGAAAAATGTTTCCATAAATAGTCAGTATCCTGGAATCTTTTTGTCAAAAAGCTGTGGATTCAATGGTCTTCAGAAGGTCCTTGTGACTAAGTTCTTTCTTATTATTTGAGCTGCCTCCTATTAAGAGGAAAAGAATTTCATTTTGTGGTCTGCAGTAGAATTGCTTATCTGCTAACTATACTGTGTAAAATGCTAGATTCAGCATATTTCAGGTATGACAGTAAAATATTGGGAGAGCATCTCCTTTCTAATGGCTAGTCACAGAATTTTTTCAAACTGTCAGAATCATTCATTTTGGATTAGGAATAGACAGATTTTTTTTTAAAATAAGAAATTTGGAAGCTTCATCAGATATGCTGCAAATTAAATACATTTTTTTAGATGTAAAATGAGAAGCATACATGGAGATGAGTGTAAGAAGCCTGGCTTTTTTTTCCCTTTGACTTTTAACATGGCACTTCCAGCTTCATAGATCAAATATGCCAGTATGTTTACTAACACATTCCGTGTTCTTTAAGCAAAATGATTGATGCTGTTCCTATGTGAAGTGCTGACAGTTGAACTTTACTATTTTTGGACTTCAGAAATTCTGGATTTCTCTTTCACCAACTTGGCAACAGTCAAAAATTTTTTTGTAGGTGTGAATTAGTTGAAATTTCTCAGAGGAGCTGAAATAACAAACCAGTGAAATGTATCAATAAGCAGCAGTATTGTTTAAAGATGTAAAGATATAGGCAATGCAGGATTTGTAAGTAGTTGCTTATTATATCAGTGTATGTAGTTGGGAAAGTAGACAAGCTGTCAAATACACAAACATTATTCGGATTGAAGGGTGCACATTAGTGACTGCAAACATGAATATTGGCTTACACACCTGAAACATGTTTATTACTCCATTTACATGTATTGGTAGAATAAATTATCACTTTTTGCGCTCTAACGTTGCCTTTAATATCTAAGGACATGTACAGAAACAGAGTTAAATGATTCTCTGTTCTTGGATTTAATAGTTAAAGTATAAAGCATTTTTATTTTAAGTGGGATGTGTATTTTAAAATTTAAATACACTTAAATGAATTGCATAACCACCAAATGTCAACTATTTAAAAAATGGGTGATGTTCTTGCTGCTTTACTCAAGAAGTTACCTATTGCCTTCAAAATAAGAGAACTAATATTTTCTCATTTAGAAAAAGACCTTGGGTTTACTTTTCTATCTGTGTTAATGATATTCATATAACTTGGTGAGTTTTAAGCCTTCTCTGTAAGTTTTGTCTTTCATATGTAGCTGTCAACTGATCTTTGGAGCATGTTTTTTCTCTTGAAGGTGGATTGGGTTTTAAACATCGGAGAGCAAGCACTGGATATATGCGTTGTCTCCTTTAATCAGGCAGTTTCTTCTGTTTTTGTGCTTGGTGAGAGAAACTTCTTTTGCCTTAAGGATAATGGGCAAATACGATTCATGAAAAAGCTTGATTACAGTCCAAGTTGCTTCATTCCTTATGGTTCAGGTTTGTAAACTTAACTTCAGCTAGCTTGCTTTTACAGCTAAGAATTTTTTTCCCACTGAATAAGTGTTTTTCTGCATAAGCAGGTGATTTGTAGAAAATCTGTAGAACTGGAGTTCTCTTTTTAGATGAAGCGGGTTTATTTTCAGATGTTTACTTAGTGTGAAGTGTCATAAGTTTTACAATTTAAATGGGTGTTTTCTCATCCTCAAATTTAGGTACTTGTCTAGTGTTTGAGTAAGTTTGCCCAGACCACCAAAGCAACAAACAGGGAAGAATGAGTGTTTTTGGAAGAGTAAACTAGGGATTGAGGACCTTCTGTCTTTTACTGATAGTAAACAAATTCAAATAATGTTTACTATTAGGAGGTGATACTGGCTTACAGCTTTGTGTGGAAGGAGCTCGGTTGGATGCTGTAATGATATAAAATTACAGATTCTTAGTACTTTTTGAACAATTAGTATAGAAAAGGTATCTGATAATTTTTTTGACATTATGTCATATTTTTAGAGGCTAAAATAGAACCTCAGCAATCCTCAAATTTTATACTTTCTGATTTATATTATAGTAAAACCTATAAATGCTTAACATCTTTAATCAGTATTCACAGGTCAATGAATTAATGAAGAGTATAAGTAGCTGATATTTAATCAATGTGTATATGTATCCGGGCATGCTAACGTGGCTATTATGAGTCTTCATTAGCCATGTCTTTAATTACCAACCATGGCTGTCTAGGACTATGGGAAGTCGTGGCACATCCTGGGTAGTATGCAATTGAAACTGGCATCCATAATTAATACAGATATCCTTGGTTATTGTCAATGTAGCTTTAATAACTTGTGACACTTTAATTATGTTAAATTAGTTTTTAACAAGTAATAGCTTAAAAGGAAAATAAAAAAATAGTGTAATGATATAAGCCTCAAAGAAAAGTACTGGCTTTTGAAAATCTTCCATCCTAAAAGTGGTTTTATATCTTTAACAGTGAAAGAAGGAAAAATAAACACTCTGGTTGGAAACCACAGTAAAATGCTGAATGTTTATCAAGATGTTACACTGAAATGGGCCACACAACTTCCCCACATTCCCGTGTCAGTAAAAGTAGCGAATTTACAGTAAGTAACTTGTTAAAGTCTACTTCTTTCAGATTTGTTTCCAGCTGTGAACTTTGCTTGTAGATCCTAACAAACAGCTCCAAGGTATGTAACAAATAAGGGAACTTGTAAAAGGAACATTCAAAGTGGTTTTTTGCTTGTTTTCTAAAATATTCGTTTAGTTAATGGGCATACTGTTATTTCTAGAAGAACTAGAATTGCTGTACTGTGCTTTAGATTTTCTGTCTTTCTTGAGTGAAGATGGAACCTGCGGTCTCACACCTCCAACGGGGTAGTTTCTTCTTTAAGAGAATGGAAAGAGAAGCTTTGCCAGCTGGTAGGATCCTTCCCTGAAACAGAAAAATAGGGAATCTCCCTGCAAATCTGTTCTTCAATAAGCTTTAAGAGCATATGAATTCCAGAGATGATTTGTTGAAGCAGATTATTCAACTCCGATGTTAAACTGTGGAAATGAAGGAAACATTTAAATTGCTGAGGATGGCACTGGCACAGACCAAAACTGTCGGTAAAATACACGTAACGCAGGTCAGGGAAAAGCTGGCTGGGTGGGGTATTGAGTGTAGAGAAATTATGACACGTTGATACCTTCTGCTGAGTCTGTCACTGAAACTACAGAAACATTCAGCTAGTGTTTTTACAATCCAGTTTATGCCCGAACTGTGTGCCGCCAGAGCTGTGATGGGTGCTGGCTGTCTGGTGCCTGTGACCATATGGGATGTAGTAGGAGTGTCCGTGTCAGGTAGATTACTTCTTATCCCCAGCAGGATGTGGCTGCTCTGCCAACATACACTGGATTGTTAAATACTTGATCCTAAGTCATGTGTTCTATCCCATAACAGAAGAAAATGCAACATCTGACTAACTAGCTTTACTGACTTGTGCAGAGTAATCTGAAGGATGTTTCTATTTAGTTTGGTACTAATGCTAACCTAATGATTTTTTAATAACTTGTAATTTAATGTTTTTGAGACCCTCTGGAGAAAGCTGTGGCTTTCTTCCAACAGGTCTTTGCAAGTAAAATATAACAAATACTCTCAGTGGGCCAGTTAGTATAAACCAAAAGTTAATTATGCAGGATATGACAGTACAGCTTTTGAAGTTTGGAAAAAATATTTGTGTCAGAAAAAATTTGAAAAGGGCATTGATTATTACAAAAGCAGATTGTACTTATATTTATATATACAATTATTTTTTTTGAAACTTGTGTTATTGAACCATCTGTTTCAATAATGCCTCTAAGAAGTTTAAAGAGATTCTGTTTGTTCCATGTGAACTTTAACACTCAGTAGTTTGATCTTAGTGAGAATTTTGGGAGCCTACTAATGGGTCCCAGATCATTTTGCTATTTGGATTCAGAATTCCTGCAGACCTACTAATGCTAGGGTTTGTTTTGGGGTTTTGTTCTGTAGAGGTTGGAGAGACAGCAGTCTCGTTATGCAAACCTCTGTATACAGGTACTGATGAATGAAGGAAAGTCTGCCTGTCTAGACCCAATGGCCTGAACAGCAGGAAGAAGTCTAGGGCATATGTGTTTGAGCTATGCTTCTTCAGACTTTCTGTTTAAAAAAATGCAGTGTGCTTTTAATTCTTTCTGACATAAGAAATAAAGATGAGCTAAACAGCAAAAAACACCTGTAATAAAGCTTAAAGACATAGTAATTTGGCTTAAACAAAAGACTGTTTAAAAAAACCCCAAACATTTGAAAGGGAGTTCTTTGACTCAATATGATAATGATTTTCTAATAACTCAGAAGAGGTCTCAGTCTCAGTTGGGGCTTCTAGGCACGGCACTACTGTAACATAAATAATGTTAAGTACTTTAATAAGGATGGAGTTGTTAATCCTACGCTGCTGAGAGACTGAAGTGACTTAAATATGGCATATGTTAATTAATTACTTTCACATCCTTTCCACTTTTATTGCAATAAAAGTGATAGATATTGCATTATAGCCTGGATGTAGTCTGAGGAAAAGCATTTCTGTTTTGACTGCTTTCAAGTTAGAAGCCTGTTTTTGCAATAGGAGGGCATTGAGCCTTTAAATCACAGACTTTATTTCTTCTAGACCTTTTTCACGTTCCCTAGTCTTAATTGTACTACTTGGTTTGGTTTGTACACAGCCTTCAAGTTCTATCTGATAAGCCTGTGAATGCTAAAAGGTAGCCTGATGTTTTTCCTTTAAGATGGAATAGGCTGCAAACTTCCCCAAGTACCATTTTTTTTTTTCAAGTCAGTATATAATGTTGCCCGTAATTTTGGTTCTTTGTGGTTTCTGCTATCCCTCAAGAAGTGAAGTCGGGTGCTATTTATATGGCAAAAAACCCCATTGATTTCACGTGGAATTTATCAGTAGGCACAGTTCTAACAGTAAACCAGCCTTCTGTGAGGGTTTAGGGTATGTGTTATGGGAAAGATAATTTTTCTCTCCATTTAATCTGCTGGGAACTTTTACTGCTGTAGACACCAATTAATCAGTGAACTTCCTGATTAATTGAAGGATATATTCACCTTTGGCCATGTTGGAATGTGATTAGAAATACCCAAAAGACAAAAATGTTAGAGCCACCTGTAGTGCTTTTCTATAGGTAATTGGATGCTTTGCATATATGATACCTCTTGGTTTTAGGAGCTGCAGCTAGGAATTAGAGTATGGGAACCAACTTTCTTTTGTGAGTGTTGATATGTACTGCTTTATCTGTGAGCAGAAGGGCTGTTCTTCATGGAAGAAAGATTCTTGAAGCAAATAACCCACAAAATGTCTTGAATGCCTTGTAAAAGGTGAAGTCCCTTTTATTACAAGGGGTTGACAGTTGTGGACAAGTTGGTGAAAGTTACTAGAATATTTGCTTTTGTTTTTCATTTATTTGACAGATAAATATAATCTTACTTTGTAATGGAAGAGGAAATACAGAGCAGTCTGGAAAAGGGTATTTTGGTCCAGAAGCAATTTATCACTTTTTAGGAATAAGAATTTCTGAGTTTCTTAAAATATTAAATTTCCAGAACCCAACCTTTTAGCTTAAGTCAAGCTAGTAAATAAACTTTAATTATTTGAGATGGAGGGGGGAGGGGTGAGAACTAAAATAAAAGTTGCTGTTGAGAAGCCAGGAAATAAAAGTAGACTTTATATGATCAGAATGGCAAGCAGGCATGCTTAGTAAGCTTTATGCACACTTCAGAACCTATAGGCTATTGACATTGATGTTTTGACTTAGGCTGTTACGTGTTTGCTTATGGATTCTACTGAATTAGAGACTTAAAGTAATCAATTTGAAGTTGCATTGTGTAGGTTGAGATGCAAGAAATACTGCAACTTACTGGATTGCTTCAAAAGATGCTCTAATAGTGTCCAGTTTTTGTACTACTAGTAAGACAAAGTAATTCAGTAGGTATAAAATTTCTAATGTTCTTGTTTGAGTCCTTCTTCCCCTTGCAGAAATAATAAAGAAGCAGAGACTATTTGACTAATAAAGGTACCAAAAATAGATTTTCTATGCAATCATTAATTAGTGTTGGACTATTTGTATTGTCCCATGTGGTGCTGGTGGCCATTGCTACTACACTTTCCTGTCTCTTGTGAAATCCCCATTTGGGTTATGGTTACACAGGTGCGTTACAAGAGTATTTTACAATATTTGTAAATGCTTACAAGTTAGTTTTGGAGACAGTGGCTTCTAGTTTACTGAAGCAAATGTCTCTTGCTACTTGTTACCATTATACTCCTAGTTGCCTCTTTTGTTTTTTCTTGCATGTTTTCTAATAAAATCATGTGTAACACCCATAACAGATGATGTGTTGGGTTTTTGTGGTGGAGTTTGGGTTTTGAGGGAGTGGAGTGCTACAGGGATAGTTCCTGGGAGAAGCTGCTAGAAGCTTCCCTGGCTCCAAGTTGGACCTGCCTCTGGCCAAAGCCAAGCCAATAGCCCCTCTCTGATTTGATATATTTAAGAGGGAAAAACTAAGAGGCCTGCAGGAGCAAGCAGAGGAGTTGAACGTAGGAGAGACAACCAGCCAGGCATCTGGGTCAGTGAGGAAATGCAAGGGAAGAGGTGCCCCAAGCAGAGGTTTCCCTGCAGCCCATGGTGAAAGGGTGGCTTGTCCCCCTGCAGCCATGGAGGGTCACAGAGGAGCAGAGACCCACCTGCAACCCAGGGAGGACTCTGTGCTGGAGCAGTGGCTGTGTCCGACGGAGGTTGTGAATCCATGGGAAGCCCACACTGCAGCAGCTTGTGAGGAAAAAAAAAAATGCAGCCTGTGGGAAGAACTCATATTGGAGAAGTTCATGGAGGACTGTCTCCCATGGGAGGAACCCCACACTGGAGCAGGGGCAGAGTGTGAGGATCCTCCCCCTGAGGAGGGAGGAGTGGCAGAGTGGTGTGATGGCCTGACCACAACCCCCATTCCCTGTCCCCCTGTGCTGCTAAGGGGGAGGAAGTAAAGAAATTGGGAGCCAATCTGAGCCCAGGAAGAAAGGAGGGGTTGGGGGCAAGTTTTATAAGGTTTGATTTTTCTCTCGTTATCCTACTCTGATTTGATTGGTAACTAATTAAATTGATTTTTCTTCCCCAAGTTGAGTCGGTTTTGCCCATGACCATAGTTGCGTGATCCCTCCCTGTCCTTGTTTTGATCCATGGGCCTTTCCTTAGATTTTCTCATCCCCAACCCATTGAGGGGAGGACTGAGTGAGTGACAGTGTGATGAATGGTCATTGGCTGGGCTTAAGCCATGACAGGGGAGTAAAAAGATGTTTATAGTATTGTTCAGTTACCTGGTAATTTCCAGCCTGTTTCTCGTCAAGGTACTGGTTCCTTGCTACCTGTCTTTGACTTTTCTGTTTTGCCATATACAACTCCAGGCACGTGGCAGTCATTCTTTATAACCAGAGATGACCACCTAAGGATACTTCCACATCAAAGTGGGAAGTTTTTTTGGCTTGATAGTCTGATGGGCCACCTTTGAACTGTCAGTGGTGTTGGCCTTGGCTGTTTGAGGACCATATCA